TGGACTCAATTTGCACTATTTCTAGCAGTCTGCAAAGGCCCTTGGTTTGTTTTTTTAAATGCTCCTTTAATGATAATGATTCTTTGCAGTCTTTGAACTAGAACTGTTAGTACTTACATTTTTAAAAATAACTTTTTGAACTCTCTGCATCTGTGCCTAGGGCTCTTCTTTAGATGTGATAGTACAGAGTGGACTTATGCCCGACTTAACTCCCTAAATTTTTATGTTGCCCTAATGTAAGTTAACTAGAATATCTACTGAAGCATAAATCCATCCGTAATTAATTATGTGCATACCCAAACCAGGCTTAATAAATCAAATATAAAGATTAGTGTTTTAAGGCAGCTTTGCAGAAAAACTGGGTTAAACCATGCAGAAAAATAAGGCATGTAGAACAAATCAGATCTACACAATATACTTCTGAGGTGGAAATATATATTCCTTCCTCTCTTTTATGGATCATTCTCCATCCCCACAAAATAATATTAAATTATAATTACAGTTTTAGGTGAATCAGGATGTGATGCAACTTGGGATCTTTTAGAGAGGACTTAATGTAGCCTAGCAGGTCACTAAAAAGACAGCCATTTAAGTGCTCCACCTGTATTAACAGTATTAAATCCTCAGTAATATATCCAATGGCTGGCTGACACCATCTATTGAATTCAGGTGAAGAGAAATTTACAATAATTTGACTAAGGCTACATCTGCACTGCAGAAATAATCCAGTTTGACACTACATTAATAACCATGGCTCAATGCTATAGAATTCTGGGAATTGTAGTTTGTTGTAGCACCAGAGCTCTCTGACAGAGAAGGCTAAATAGCTCACAAAACTACAGCCCCCAGAATTCCATAGCACTGAGCCATGGCCATTAAAGTGATGTCAAACTGGATTATTTCTGCAGTGAAGATGCAGCCTAGAAGATATCAAAAGCTAGAGTAGAGTGAGCTGGACAAGCTCTGCTTTAACCAGACCATTGGATTTACTGCCAAAATAGACAGAATGTGCTATTGAAGTTAATATATAGGGGTTGCAGACTGCCAGAAATAGTGCAAATTGAGTCCACTTTTAGGGTTAGGGTTAGGGAATCATGGGAACTGTATTTTATTGTGGCACCAGAGCTCTCTAACAGAGAAGGCTCAATGTCTCAGAAAAAAACCAATTCTCATGATTCCCTAGCACTAACCCTAACCCTAAAAGTGGATTCAATTTGCACTATTTCTGGCAGTCTGCAACCCCCCATAAGTTTTTTAAAAAAAACATTGTACCTTCTAAATTTGTCCTAGCTACTAACTAAGGCTGCAATCCGCACTGCAGAAATAATCCAGTTTGACACCACTTTAATTGCTGTGGCTCGTTGCTATGGAATTCTGGGAACTGTAGTTCATTGTGGCACCAGGGTAAGATGGCTCCTTCTAAACTCAGTGCTGCCAAAAGAGGATCATCTGCGTGTAAAGAAACTACTTGTCTATGGCTGTGTCCGCACCGCAGAAATAATCCAGTTTGACACCACTTTAATTGCCTTGGCTCACTGCTGTGGAATTATGGGAACTGTAGTTCATTGTGGCACCAGGGTAAGATGGCTCCTTCTGACATAGCCTGTTTGCTATGGAATTCTGGGAACTGTACTTCATTGTGGCACCTGAGTTCCCTGACAGAGAAAGCTAAATACCTCACAAAACTACAATTCCCATATGTCCATAGGATTGAGCCATAGCAGTTAGGGGGGTTGCAGACTATCAAAAATAGTGTGAATTCAGTCCACTTTTAGGGTTAGGGTTAAGGTTAGGGAATCATGGGAACTGAATTTTATTGTGGCACTAGAGTTCTCTGACAAAGAAGGTTCAATGTCTCAGAAAAAAAACAATTCCCATGATTCCCTAGCACTAACCCTAACCCTAAAAGTGGACTGAATTCACACTATTTTTGACAGTCTGCAACCCCTTAGTGATGTCAAACTGGATTATTTCTGCAGTGCGGACACAGCCATAGGGATGCAGATGACCAAATTTGGAATGAGCCATTTTACTCACAGCTCTCCTGGCAGATGGACAGCATAGCATAGGCTTCATAGAGGACCTTATCCCACGGGGCCAAAAGCAGCAAGAATCGGCTAAGAATCAGGCGCTATAGCGCTATAGTTTTCTGGGTGATCCCACGACGTCGCTCGGAATCGGCTAAGAATCAGGCGCTATAGCGCTATAGTTTTCCGGGTGATCCCACGACGTCGCTCAGAATACAACAAGAAACCGCTCGGAATGCAGCATCATTCGGGTTCTTTTGTATTCCTGTTTTCATCGGGCATTGCAATAGCGCTAGCTTATCCATAGCGCTATTATAGCGCTAGCGCCATATTATACTAGCGCTATAGTACTGCAATGATGCTCATACGGTTTCTTGCCACTTTTGAGAGCAGCGTGGGATAAGGTCCAGAGCTTTACCAGCTAATTCCAGCTAAACTCTCCTAATCCTGCACAGGACTCAATTAAGCACCAATAGATCTTTGCCTGTGAATCCACTTGGCTGATCTGCTTTAGGACATTGATAGGGCTGACACAAAAAATTAAACCTTATTCTCTGGAAAGATCAAAGACAGGAAGGAACAGTGGTGTCTGGGTGTTACCCAAGTCAGTCAAATTATTATTTATTTTCTACACTTTCACCCCCAAATCTCCAACTTTT